TCTCTCTCTCTCTCTCTCTCTCTCTCTCTCTCTCTCTCTCTCTCTGTGTGTGTGTGTGTGTGTGTGTGTGTGTGTGTGCCCTTATAAAAGGAGTTGGAACACTTTAGTTCCATTTGCATGATTTTAAAATTGGAATTACACTTACACTCTGTGAGTTTGTTGTTGTCCTTATGGGAAAGTTTTTACCTACAAGCTTTTTAATAAATAGAAAGATTTGTGTTCAACATTTTCTTTTTAAATTTAAACCACCTTTATATTGAGATGTGATATGTACAGTGCACAGTGTAGAAGTCTCAAGTACATGGCTTGTTGAGTGTTTTCATGTCTGTGCACATATGTAGCTACTACTCAGCCTGTTGAAAAGCAAGCCTAAGGAACAGACATCTGAGCAGACATGGCTTATCATTTACAGATCAATATTTAAGAAGTTGGTACTTGGACAGCAGGATGGTTCAGTGGGGGAAGACACTTGCTGTCAGGCCTGAGGACCTGAGTTCAGCCCCTAGAACTTATGATAGAGGGGAATACCTGATGCCAGTGAGTTGTCCTCTGATAGCCACACTCACCCTGGAGCATGCTCTCCGACATACATACACAAAATAATTTGGTAAGTGTGACTTAAAATGTCAATGCCCTGGTGCTGAAGCAACCCTCTCCCTGATCAAATTAAGACGGATGCCCGTCATCCTGGTCTCTGAATGACAATGACATATTTCCATGGGCAGCTGCACTGCACTGGAGGAACTGAGGCAACCTCATCCTCTGGACTTAGGAATTAGGGTCAGTATCATTGATGGGTAGACACTGATAACCTCATCTGCATCCATAAAAGTGTATTTCCCTCAGCCAGTTGTCAAGGTTGACCCCATAGAAGAGAATAACCTATGCACATGCTCTAGAATTTTTTTATTCTCATGATCATAGCTAAGAAAAATAAATACAAGATGTTTGACTCATCGTAGGGTAGAATCTCTATAGCACTGTTGGTCCCAGCTGGTTGGCAAAT